CCATGGAGGTTTGGCCTAGTTGAAAAGTTCAAGCTAAGGCCCTGTTTTTTGTTTTTCAAGATTGCAGGTCATCCTTAGAATGGCTTCCCTGCTCCATTTTAGAGCTGTGAACCAGAGTAATGCTATTTGGCATATCACATTTCATGCTCCTCTATGAAAACACCCCAAACGCTCTCCATCTCACTCATAATGAAAGTCGACATCCTGGAAATGGACTGCAAGGCCCTACACAATCAGGTCCTTCATTGCTTCTCCGACCTTACCTCCTATCTCTCTACCTCACTCATATTTCCTCAGCCATCCTGGCCTCATTGCTTTTATCAAACATTCCAAGCACTTTTCTACAAGGGCTGTGCACCTACCTTCCTCACTCTCTCACCCTCTTTATTCAGATGCCACCTTTTCACTGAGACCTTTCCTGACAGCCCTATTAAAATTATAATCCTGCCAGCACTTCACTTTTCATTTTTATTATTATTGTCTTTTTGAGACAGAATCTCACTCTGTTGCCCAGGTTGGAGTGCAGTGGTGTGATCTCAGCTCACTGCAACCTCCACCTCCTGGGTTCAAGCAATTCTCCTTGCCTCAGCCGCCTGAGTAGCTGGGATTACAGGTGCTCGCCACCACGCCTGGCTAACTTTTTTGTATTTTTAGTAGAGACAGGGTTTCGCCATGTTGACCAAGCTGGTCCTGAACTCCTGACCTCAGGTGAATCTACCCACCTTGGCCTCCCAAAGTGCTGTGCTGGGATTACAGGCATGAGCCACCACTCCGGGCAGCACTTTACTTTTCTTTATCGCACTTATTACTTTGTAAGATACAATATAATTGACTCAGTTATGCTTTTTGTTGTTTTTCTCTTCCTAGTAGAATGTAAACTATCTAGGGTAGAAATGTGTTTCTTTTGTTCACTAATGTAGCCCCAGGGCCTAGTACACTGTCTGGCACATGACATATACTCAAACGTTTTTGTGTGAGATAAAAGACCAAGTTCTAGTCAAATCACACATGGGGGCGGTAAGTTGGTGGTGAAACCACCTGATACTCTGAGTATTGAAATAGGAAACAAAGTTAGCTGCTGGTGGGCCATGGCTTGAAGAAAATGTTGCACATTTGCAGGAGCAGTTGTGGGGAATGGTAAAGGCAGCACATGAAAGGTTTCCAAACCTCACAGAGGGTCTGGCTGAAGTTAAAAAAAATCTATCTGTGAAGGATTAGTCTGAAGATTTTCTACGAAACCTTATCATAGCTACTAGTTATTAACTATGTCAAGAGCTATGCTAAATGCATTACCTTCACTATTTTATTCTCACAATAACTCTGAGATAAATATTGTCATTTACATTTTACTGGAGGGAAATGGAGGCTTAGATCAGTTAAACAACTTGTCCATGGTTACCCAACTAGAAAATGGCAGAGCTGAGGTTCAAAATCAGCTCTGTTTTACTCCAAAGTCCATGCTTGCCCCATGCACCATGCTTCTCGTGGGCATGGTGAAGAGAGAGGATGTTTGGATAGATCCAACCTGGAATGATTTCAAGGTGGATGAGGCAGAATAAAAGAAGTCTACAATGTTAGGTTGCAGGAAGTAGAGTGGTTGAATGATGTACTGTGATTCAAGGCTGGACAGAGATGGCGCCATAGCCATGAATGGAGTAAGGTTCCCAGAAGCAAATGGAGAAATGAAGGAATTAGTTACATAAATGAAGCAGTAATGCAGGGGGACTGACAATTTTAGCATCACGGCAGAATGAACCAGTGAAGATCTCTGCCACTCCTTTTCTACTGCAAAGACATAGAAATGGTGTTCTTGGGTGCCAAAAGTAAAAGAGGAACTAAAGACTGGACTTGTAAACCTGCTGCATTAGCCAGGGAAATATCAAATAGGATATATACTCTCTAGGCTAGTTTCCCAGCTTTTAACACTGTGTAAGAATAGAAGATATGGCTGGGTGCAGTGGCTCATGCCTATAATCCCAGCACTTTGGGAGGCTGAGTGGGTGGATCACCTGAGGTCAGGACTTCGAGGCCAGTCTGGCCAACATGGTGAAACCCAGTATCTACTAAAAATATAAAAAATTAGCCAGGCATGGTGGTGGGCACCTGAAATCCCACTTGGGAGCCTGAGGCAGCAGAATTGCTTGAACCTGGGAGGCAGAGGTTGCCGGAAACTGAACTGAGTACCTAAATCAAGCCACGGCTCTGGTGGAGCTACTCCTCAGTGAAACGGGAAACTACAAAAATCCTCAGGGAAGTTGTAAGGGAATATATGTCTCCCCCATGTTCAGACTTTTTCATCTGAATTTATCCTATGCTTATTGTATTAACTTGAAGAGGAGATGTTAGTATAAGAGCTGATCCCGGACAATTAAATCCTTCTTGTGCCTGGCAGATGCAGATATAAAGCCACTGCGTAACACACTTCCATGACTCAGCAAACTCACAAGGGAAAAAAATTCCTTGAAAATGAGTTTTTAGTTAAATTTCAAACCACGTAGAGAAATAATCCACTATTCAAAGATTTATCAAGCACACTATAATTACATTGCCAAAATTTTGATTTTTATAAAATGATCTTTAAAAGATAATAAAAAGTAAGTAGTTTTGAAAAATGATTAAAAGGATGAAAGAAGATAAGATACAGGAATCATATGGAAAGAGCAAGACTCTGTAGATTTAAAGAGACACTAGGTAGATTTAAAAGGAATCAAGTAGAACTTAGAGAAATGAAGAACTTTTGTATTGAAATTAAAACTGAATAGATGGGTTAAATTATAGACGAATATAGCTTAGTAATTGATTAGTGAACTGGAGCACAGCTACAAGGTAACTATCCAAAGGATTACACAAAAAGAAGAGATAAAGAATATAAAAGAAAAGTTGATCATGGGGTGAGTATTGAACACACATCTAATAGGAGTTTCCAGAAGCAGAAAGTAGAAAAATATCAAGGAAAAAAGACAATTGTCTTGTATTTAAAAAGACAATTTCCCAAGGATTATTAAAAACTTGATTGCTCAGGCTGGGGGCGGTGGCTCACATTTGTAATCCCAGCATTTTGGGATGCCAAGGCAGGTGGATCCCCTGAGGTCAGGAGTTCAAGACCAGCCTGGCCAACATGGTGAAACCCTGCCTCTACTAAAAATACAGAAAAATTAGCTGGACATGGTGGTGGGTGCCTATAATCCCAGCTATACTTAGGAGGCTGAGGCAGGAGAATTGCTTGAACCCAGGAGGCGAAGGTTGCAGTAAGCCAAGATTGCATCATTGCACTCCAGCCTGGGCAACAAGAGTGAAACTCCATCTCAAAAAAAACTTGATTGCTCAAATTGAAGAAAGCTGACTTATGAAAGTATAAATTCTAGCAATCCTTATTTAAACACATTACAGAAAAACTCAAGGACACCAAAGACAAGGGTTACATATATACAAAATACACATTAAATTGGTATTTGATCATTAAGAACAGAAGCAAAAAAAAAAAAAAAAAGAAAAAACCCTGCAAAACACTGGAATAATATCTTTAAAGTTCTGAGAGGAAATAAGCAGGATACTAACATTATATACCCAGCTAAACTATCATTTGAGATGGTGGCTAAGATAGAAACCTTTTCAGATAGTCAAAAGACTGAGTGTTCATCATGCAGAGACTCTTTCTGAAATCATTAACAAATGGAGTCATTTAACAAGAAGGAAGTTGGGAACAGAAAAAAAAACAAATGGAATGCAAGAAACAGTGGTGTTCAAAACAAAGCAGGTCTACTGAGAAAAAAAGAGCCAGCCAGCTAGAGGTTTAGAAAGTTGTGGTCAAAGACTGGCAGATTGAGGCTTAATATTTTGGAGGTGGAGGAGTTCTGTATGTTGACAAATTCCATATAACCTTGAGAGAGGGTGATTTAAATAGAGGGAGTGGAGTGAGGCTGATTTAATCCCAGAAAATCAAGAAACTTTCAGGCTAAGTTATTGAAGCGATCATCAATTGTACCATTCTCCTCCATTATCTCAGATACATTCTCCAGTTTTCTCCCAGTGCTGCTTTGAAGACTAGGATACTGATCCCTGTGAACTGTACTACGAGGTTTTCTTTCTAGCTGGTTTCATGTTGGATTTGGCCATTTGGAGTCACTGCCCAAAAATCAAAGTGGAAGATAGAGACTGGAATATTTCTTTCCCATTATTTCCCTGCTTTAGCATTGCTTCTCTGGTGCTTGTGTCTCTCTGTGACTGAAGTTCCTAATGGGTGGCCTCTTTTCCATGCCTCCAGCTCTTAGTGAACCCAGATAACTGTATTAGGCAGGCGTAGTGGTACATACCTGTAGCCCCCACTACTTGGGAAGCTGAGGCAGGAGAATTGCTAGAACCTGGGAGTGGAGGTTGCAGTCAGCCGAGATCATACCACTGCACTCCAGCCTGGGTGACAGAGTGAGACTCTGTCTCAAAAAAAAAAAAAAAAAAAAAAAAAAAAGGTGCTGATGCTTTGGCTACTGCCATTATTATAAACAATAAACTGTCCCTCATGTTGACCCAGGAGCATCGTGTCTTCTACCAGCACCTGTGAAACGAATAGGCTATTGATCCTGTGCTTAAATGTGTCATTGTAGTTGTGTGCTGATTTCCATAAAACATAACTAATTATAAGGGACTCCTCACAAATACACTCCAGACAGAAGAAAAAGGTAAACAGAAAGGACTGACAAGACAGTGCCATTTCAGACTTAGCTCCTTAATACTTGCTAAAAAACGGAGTTTGACCTTATTTACAATTATACCAGTATTGTCAGAGGCCAAATGTCACAAGGATAAGTGTATACCAGGATCACGAGACATCATTTCATACTTCCCAAATAGTTTTATATTTTAGCTTTGAAGGTCAGTTACCAGAGCCGAACTTGTTCTTAACAAGCAGAAATTTTACATCCATTCAAAGAGTCTCTTACACCTTTCTGGGCCTATTCACTTGCAGAGAAGAGTAGGCTTTTCATATATGTGATCTCCTGTCTTTACATGCTGTCCAATTTCTTTAAGATAAATGGAGTGACTCGCAGCAGGGCCACGTAGATGAGAAAGTTCCGTATGGAGATCATATCCTCACACATCTTCCATTTCATCTCCTCCGGGTCTAGCTTCGGCATGAGGCCCTCGATCTGGAACGTCGCGGCTCTGACTTAGCAGCCTTAAGCCGCCTTGCTCTGCTCTTCCCAGTGGCCGTCTTCACGTTAACTTTCAAATAAGGTACAATCTCAGATTCTTTTCAGCTCTTGGCAGGTAACTTGGCACCTCTTGTCTGTTGCTTTAAATCTGAGTGAGGCCCTGTCTCAGAAAAAATCTGATGATAACTTTAAAAATAGTTCTTCCATAAAATTCATTTCAGTGAATTCTGTTTTCTGCAATGCCCCTGCCTGATATACCCAGAAAGTTTGAAATCTCAACAGAGTGTGTGATGGTTAATTTTGTGTGTGAACTTGGTTAGGTTATGGTGCCCATTTTTTTGGTCAAACACTAGTCTAGATGTCACTGTAAAGTTTTTTTTAAAGATGTGATTAATTCTTTCTTTTTTTTTTTTTTTTTAGAGAGAGAGACAGGAACAGTTATGGCTCACTGTAACCTTGAACTCCTGGGATCAAGTGACCCTCCCATCTTGGCCTCCCAAATTGCTGAGATTACAGGTGAGCCACTGCACCTGGCCTATAATCTTTGTTTTGTTTTGTTTTTGTTTTGTTTGTTTTTGTTTTGAGACGGAGTTTTGCTCTTGTTACCCAGGCTGGAGTGCAATGGCGCGATCTCGGCTCACCGCAACCTCCGCCTCCTGGGTTCAGGCAATTCTCCTGCCTCACCCTCCTGAGTAGCTGGGATTACAGGCATGCGCCACCATGCCCAGCTAATTTTTTGTATTTTTAGTAGAGGTGGGGTTTCACCACATTGACCAGGATGGTCTCAATCTGTTGACCTCGTGATCCACCCACCTCAGCCTCCCAAAGTGCTGGGATTACAGGCGTGAGCCACCGCGCCCGGCCTAATCTTTTTTTTTTTAATTACTTTGATTAACTAGCTTACCCCTAGTAATGTGGGTGGGCCTTATCCACCTACTTGAAGGCCTGACGAGCAGACTGAGGTTTCTCAAAGAAGAAATTCTGCTTCAAGACTGCAATATACCTGTAATCCCAGTGCTTTGGGAGTCCAGGGTGAGAGGATCACTTGAGGCCAGGAATTCAAGACCAGCCTGGGCAACATAGCAAGATTCTATCTCTACAAAAAAATGTTTTAAAAATTAGCCAGGTGTGGTGTGCATGCTTATAGTCCCAGCTACTCAGGAATCTTGGGAGAATCAATTGAGCCCAGGAGTTTGAGGCTGTACAGAGCTATGATTGTGTGACTGTATTCCAGGCTGAGTGACGAAGTGAGACCCTGTCTCTATATAAAGAAAGATAGAAAAAAAGACTGCAATTTAAAAACCCTGCCTGAGTTTCCTGCCTGCTGGCCTACAGATTTCAGACTTGACAGTCTCCACAATTGTATGAGCCAATTTCTTAACATAAATATATCTCTCTGTGCATATATATCCTTTTGGTTCTGTTTCCCTGGAGAACCCTGATTAATGTAGGATGCCACAGAATTTAGTGAGAAGCCTATGCATACAGGGTCAAGGTCCCCAAATAATGAGTGGGAGTTTCTTAGGCAGAGAGTAGGAGACAGCAATAGAATGAAAAAGAGGTATTTACTGAAGAGAGTAGGATTTCTAGAGTCTTAAGAGGAAAGTGAGGAACATGCCTCAATGGTATCTTCAGGCAACAAAATAGGCAAAGTGCACATCATCTTGCCTCTGACTGTGCATCAAGCCTTGTCACCCATTCCTGTCACTCATGACCTGCCCTACTGTCAAACTATCAAATATGACTTGCTGCTCCTGGAATCCAACTCCATACTGTTTTATGTCTCCTTGACTTTGGTCTTGTAGTTCCTTCTGCTAGGAATTCCCTGTCAATTTCTCCATGTTTCCTGTGTCCCCAGGACCCTTTACTCTCTCATGGTTCTTACCTCCTTCCCTACCTTTTCTTCCTTCTCTCCAGTCTCATTGAAACAGTCAGGTGCACCATCTTCCTCACTTTCCAGCACAGACACAATTCTCTAATTGTGTTTGCATGTCTTCCCTGTCACTGGTCTGTGAGCAAGAACTGTGACATTTTACTCAGGATTATATGTATATAAGATAAGACATATAAAATGTGCTCTGCACATGTTTGTTGCGTGAATGAATGAGTGAATAAATAAATTTGACGATGACCATGTACATGGTTGGAACAGGGTTCAACTAGGATTTTCTTACTCCAAAGCCCAGTCTTTTTCCATATATGATGTGATTCCGTTCCTTAGGAATTCTGCATGTAGAAGCTACCTTTTACGAAGAAGAATTTCTGTCTACAGTAGAAGGAAGCCACAGATGTGGGGTAATTGATAATGAATGCCCATTTTAAAAGATTAGAACACACCAACACTTGTTTTATTTTTATTTTAATTTTGTTTCATTTTTTTGGTAAGCTATGCTTTTCTGGTTGCTGACAACATTCTCAAAGAATTGATCTCAAATATAAGAAGGTAGTTAGCATTTTGCTTTGCCACAGACAAGATACATATTAGAAGTCCCTCTTGCCTCAAAATGAAACCCAGTCTGGAAAGCTTCCAGGATTAGCCATACTCGGTTTATTCTAACAAGTTTCATTACACACAACGTTGAGTGAGCATCTGCCCATGTGATTTGATGTCGATGGCATATAGGGGAGCTGCTCCATTCCTTAATCTCCCCTCCTGTGGAAAGGGTACACTTACTTCTAATAATGGGATTCTACATTTAGACATTAATTCCTTTAACTTAAGGCAGATCCTCCTTTCTGTCCAGTGCACTCTCCAATCTACAGCTGCATGTCAGGCTTTTTTTCCTAAATTCCACACCTAAATAGTCATCTGTTTCTGCCCCGCAATCACCTATAATAGAGCATTTCCAAACAGAACCTAAAGACCAGGTGTGGTGAATCACATCTGTAATCCCAACACTTTGGGAGGCTGAGGGAGGCAGATCACTTGAGGTCAGGAGTTCGAGACAAGCCAGGCCAACATGGCAAAACCCCGTCTCTACTAAAAATACAAAACTTAGCCAGGCGTGGTGGCGTGCGCCTGTAATCTCAGCTACTCAGGAGGTTGAGGCAGAAGAATCGCTTGAACCCGGGAGGTGGAGGCTTCAGTGAGCTGGGATTGTGCTATTGCACTCTAGCCTGGGTGAAAGAGTTAGACTCCATCTCAAAACAAACAAACAAAAAAGCCAAACAGAACTTATGCCCCTTGTATCAAAACTATTTCTTCTTCTAGGTTTCTAATTTTTATGAATTGTGTTACCGCTCACCAAGTTTCCCAAGATAGAAACCTGAGTGAGAGTCTTCCTTTCACCCACATCCAGCTGGCCACTGGTCTTTGGAGTTGTTTTCTTTCTTCTTTAGAGACAAGGACTAACACTGTTGTCCAGGCTAGAGTGCAGTGGTACAATCATAGCTCACTGCATGAGCTGGACCTCTTGGGCTCAAGCAATTCTCCTGTCTCAGACTTTTGAGTAGTTAAGACCACACCATCCTGGCCAACATGGTGAAATCTCATCTCTACTAAAAACACAAAAGTTAGCTGGGCATGGTGGTGCATGCCTGTAGTCCCAGCTACTTGGGAGGCTGAGGCAGGAGAATTGCTTGAACCCGAGAGGTAGAGGTTGCAGTGAGCTGCAATTGCACCACTGCACTCCAGACTGGTGACAGAGCGAGACTCTGTCTCAAAAAAAAAAAAAAAAAAAAAAAAAAAGATCACAGTCATGAGCCACCATGCCTGGCTAATTAAACTTGTTGTTGTACAGGCTGGGTCTCACTCTATTATCTAGGCTGAAGTGCAGTCGTGTGATACAGCTCACTGCAGCCTCGACCTTCTAGGCTCAAGTGATCCTCCTGCCTCAGTCTCCTGAGTAGCTGGGATTACAGGTATGTGCCACCATGCCAGGCCTTCTGAGTCTTCATCGTAAACACTTCTTGACTCTTGTCCACTGGCCTCTGTGACTGTTGCCACTATCTTGCGTCAGGTCCTTCATCAGTCCCCACTTGTTTAAATGAGGAGTTGAGCCTCTCTTCTGTCCATTCTCCACCATGTAGCCAGGGAAGTCTGTTTTAAAGATAGAGCTGACTCCTCTTCTGAACTCTTATAGAATGGCTACTTATTGCCTGTAGGATAACGTGTATGCTCCCATATCATATAAGGTATTAATTTTCTGAGCCTTGTTCAGCTCTCCAATATTCTTCTTCCCATTTCTACAGACTTCATAAGTTTCCATGTGTTTTCAGTCTTCTCATGTTCTTTTTACTGTGTCTTTTGACAGGTTACTCCTCTTGTCTGAGAAGCCCTTTCCCCATTTCACCTGGCCAACTGATTACATGTTCTTTGAGACTCAGCTCAGTCACTTACATTCTTTCAACAGTGTTTCCAGACATTTCTTACCTAAGCTAAAAGTTCCCATCAATGTATTTCCCAAGGTCCCTATCCTTACCAGTATCATAGTACTTATCACATGGGATTCTCTGCCAATTTTACTTCCATGTCTTTCCAAGTAGATTATAAAGTCCTTTATGAAGAGTCCTTTATGTATCTTTGAAAGCTGGGGACCTACCAGAGAGCTGACATTTGGTTAGTGTTCAATACATTTTGGTTAGGGAAAAAAGTTAAATGACACTTAGTGGATAGTCTAAGAGGGTTATGAAAACACATTTTAAACCTGGCAAGCTGGTGCCTGGCTCTAGTCTCAGTTACTTGGGAGGCTGAGGTGGGAGGATCCCTTGGGCCTAGGAGTTAGAGGCCAGTCTGGGCAACAGAGTGAGACCCCCATCTCTTTTATTTTATTTTATTTTTTTGAGATGGAGTCCCGCTCAGTCACCCAGGCTGGAGGCAAGTGTTTCTCCTGCCTCAGCCTCCTAAGTAGCTGGTATTACAGGTACCCACCACCATCCCAGCTAATTTTTGTATTTTTGGTAGAGACGGGGTTTCACTACGTTGGCCAGGCTGGTGTCGAACTCCTGACGTCAGGTAATCTGCCTACCCTGGCCTCCCAAGGTGCTGGGATTAT